CTTTTTCATGCCAATGGGGACAAGGGCCTCTCTCCCCAAAAACCTGGGCTGGTGGTAATGCTGCATCTGGGTACCCGATTTTATAAAGGGGGCACCCAGATGCTGCCCCCCCTTGTGAATGTGTAAGGGGTAGTTGTACCCCTACTCATTTACTAAAGAGTTATATAAATGTAAATAAATACGCAAATCCTTAGAAAAAAATTCCTTTCATTGAACAAAAAACACAACACAAGTTTTTGACAGTTCCTTTATGTAACAAAACAAATGTCCCATGATGTCAATCCTGACACCCACCGACCAACGAAAGATTAATAAAATACCCGCCGCTGGCTGCCCAATGCAATTTTTATATCAGGCAGTGGGCAGAAATAAACAAAGCCTTCTATTGGCTATTTCAAATTGAAATAGCCAATAGCAGGCTGGCTAATGCACCCGCTCACTGCCTGATGTCAGTCATAGAGGAGCAATAGCCATTTTGCTATTGGCTATTTTAAATTGCAATAGCCAATACCTGACTGGCTATTGCTCTGCCCACTGCCTTCGGTCAATTAGCAGAGGAGCAGATCTGAGAGGGAACTTTCTTTTTCAGGTCCGATCTCCTCTGCGGAGGGACAGAGGGCTATGGGCGGCAGCTATTGGCTATTGGCTATTTTAAATTGCAATAGCCAATAGCAGGCTGGCTATTGCTCCACCCCCTGCCTGATGTCAATCAGCAGAGGAGCAAACCTGAGAGAGAAAGTTCTCTCTCAGGCCCGCTCCTCTGCTGATTCGTTTGTAATCATCATTTAACGCATTAGAAATTAACGAAAATTCGGATTCATCTGATTCCCAATGCTGAAACGAATTGACTTTCAGACTCGAATCCCGAAAAACGAAGTAACGAAACATCTGAATTGAAACTAAGCGAATTTTTAGCCAGCTTACATATCTAATCCTTAATTAACCCCTGACCTTTCTTTTGCCATTAGCAACTTTTTCTGCTATTTTGGTCATTTCTATTTTTTTTTTTTTAAACCAATAAAATTTAAACTTTTTTTAATTTTTACTTATGTTGTTTCTTATTTTTGGTGTCACCATAAGAACCGTGCATAATTGAAAAAATGCCTTTGAATTATAATTAATTTGTAAATAACTTGGCAAAGATTAGCATTGGAATTGTAATTTTAGTGTTGTTATAAATGGGACCAAGTATAGAAAAAATCTGACTACCATCTGTCTTGCACAATGGCTGAGGTCTGTCAGTCAATTATGTGTGCTTTAGTGAAGTCCATACACTCCCATAAATAGCTTTTACTGCTAACCCAACTATCAGTAGCTTGCCAAAGGAATGTGAATATATCTCATCAGTACTTTTGTCTCTTCTATTCACAGAACGTATCTAAAAATATGGAATTCAATATTCATTTATTTTAACTAAATGTTGTATTGAAAGTGGTGCACATTGCCAGGGTCGGCCTTAGGCCTTTAGGCGCCCTGTGCGAGAAAGCTCTACAGCGCCCCTCAGTGACCACACCCCTCTGTGGCCACACCCATTCCTCCAATATCCGCACCATTCAAAGACTCCCATTTTGTTAAGCCCCAAAGGAACATATTAAAAAGTATGATAAAAATAACACTTTTATTTAAAGGTATTAAACTTGTAAGCACAATATAAGTATTCTTATTAAATAAAACAATAGAAGGCAAACAATAAATGTCAAACTACAATGGAGTCTATAAAAATAAAGTGACAGGTTGTCATGCCGATCCTTTTTTCAAGTAGGTGCATCTAGAAAAGTAAAAAAAAAAGCAGAACACAAAACCTAGGCTACATGTAAAATGAATGAATTACTATTTGCCCGAATATACGAAAAATGTATTCAGGCACATAATAATTTGTTTGAGAATGCGCGGCGGCCATGTTGGCCACCGGCGTGTTCTGCGAATGCGTGCCACCATCTCGGAGGTGGGGAGCATGATGTCACATGACGCCATGCATGCGTGGCATCAGGTGACGTCACTCGCCGATATACCTAGATATACACCAAGATGGCGGCGCCAATACGTGCGGTGTTACATGACGTCATGCGCCCGGCCTCCAGAACACGTCAATGGCTGAATCCAAAATAGCATAAAAATTTGTTTTGTTTGATGAATTGAATGAAAACGTTTTTAGTTTTCGTTCATTTAATCTGAAATGAATTTTTAGTTGTTGCACATGTCTAATAATACGTGTATGTTATTATTATTTTTTACATTTTTTTGTTTATTTTATTTTTTATTTTTTTTACTGTTGAGGGGGATATTGTCTGGGAAATATTGGGGGTCTAAACAGACCCCTGACATTTCCATTTTAAAATAGAAAAGAAACTGAGGACACAAAGTCCTCAATTTCTTTTTCTGCAGCCTCAGCACTCAATGAATGGGGGGAAAATATCATGCTTCAGCAGACAGTTTCTCCTCGGAACCGAGGACAGCACTGAAACGGCTGGGCGGCGGCAGGAGGAGGGAGCGCTGTCATGTCAGATGGCCAGCGGTGAGGAGGAAAGAAGCCGCCCTGAGGACGAGCTGTGTCGGCCACCTGGTGCCCTTGTTGCCAGAGCGCCCAGTGCGGCCGCACAGCTCGAACACCCCAAAGGCCGGCCCTGCACATTGCAAAAATAAATATCTGTAAACAGAACTGGACTGGAACCAAAAAGCAGCTCTTGCATAGCAACCATTGCAGGAGTAAGTAATACACCTAGGTCTCACACCGAGCCTTTGATAAGACAGCAATGGAGAAGTAACAGACTGATGAGCTCTGCTTGGTGTCTCCTTGTTAGAATGCTCCTTGGGACCACATGAGCACTGCAGCACAACTCATTGGCTCCTTGTGCTGCTTTGCTCACTCCCAGGCTGAGCTTTGCTGTACAGTGGATTGCAAGATATTGAAATAAAGTAAAATTCAAAACTTAAACTAGCCGCTTTTAAAAATACACAGCTTTTTTAAAATAACATATACCTGGACAAATGTTTTTATCTGCCTGGAATTCAGTTTTGACACATGTTTAAACCTGTGTCTGCCCAGGTGTTTTTTTTTTGCACACATGTTACAATCCACATTTTCGGCTTCAAAATTAGTTAAACCCCCAAATGTGTCATTACCCGTTGCCGTCTTGATTGCCCGGCAAGCTCCATGCTGTTTGGCCATCCTGTATCCCAGCCAATCAGCATGGAGCCGGCTTCCTGGCCAATCAGGAAGCTGAGCCGGAAGTCATTACCCGCAGCCCAGCCTCCTGATTGCCTGGGAAGCCGGCTCCATGTTCCCTCACGGCATTGCCAGTCATAGGAACTCACCCAAATACTCAGTATCGCCACCGATATCGGTACTTGTATCTGTATCGGTGCACCCCTAATATATGTATATTAGAGGTGCACCGAAATGAAAACTTCAAACCGAAAAGAAACCGAAATGAAAAAAAAAAATGTCGGGCTGAAACCAAATGTTTTTTTCTAACTTTTTCAATTTTTTTAAAATATTTTATATTTATTTTACAACTTTAATTTATATTGTAAAGCGCTGCACAAGCTGTTGGCGCTATATAAATCCTGTATAATAATAATAATAATAATTTTGTTATATTTGATTGTTATTTATTTATTTTCATTAAATAATTTTTTTGTAACTTTACTTCTAGGGGCTTCGGGGAAATATTAGGGGTCTAAGCAGACCCCTGATATTTCCCTTTTAAAATAGAAAAAGAGATTGAGAACACAGAGCCCTCAATCTCTTTTTCTGCATCCCCTTTTATAAATGAACAGGAATTCTCTATACTGAATGTTCCTGTTCATTCATAACTTGAGGACATAGTATGCTTACTAAATACACAATCATGAATGAACAGGAAGTGATGTAGATCACTTCCCATTCATTCATAATTGAGGACACAGTAAACATACTATGTCCACAATTACTGATCGCTGAATGTTTGTACTAGCGCTCCTTCCTGACACGCTGTCACAGGAGGCTGAGCGAATGCGGGAAGAAGAGCTCGGTCTGACAGCTGAATCCTCCCCTGCACCGCCAGCCGGCCTCCTGTGACAGCAATGGCTGTCTCCACCACACGGCCGCTCTCCTGACCTGTGATAGGAGACTGAGCGGTGCGGGGAGGAGAGACTCCGGCAACTCACAGGACTCCCCTCTTCCCGCACCGCTCGGGCGCCTGTGACAGTTTCTCTCCTCCCCGCTTCCATGACGGAATAAATGTCAGTCAAAGTACCGCAAGGCTGAATACTGAAAAATGGCCTGGACAGGAAGGGGGTGTGAACACCCCGGTCAGCAAGTGGTTAAGGGTAATTGTATTCCAGCAAAATAATGTTTTGTTTTGTTTTTTTAAATCTTTCAATGGGCTGTTAATGTTTATCTTATTTTTGACTAGAGGTCTGCTTTATGTGACTTTGTGTCCAGTAGCAATCAGTTGTCTTTTAAGAGGAACTTTACCCACCAATTTAATGTCTTCCAAAACAGTTACTCTGAAGACATGCCAACTTTTAATGTTGCCATTGTGCTTTTTTCAACTCCTAGCTGAACTTTCAAGCCCTCAAATGGCTGGGTGTCATAGCTGATCACATGTAGAGCACCAATGAAACTGCAATCCAAATAGAGGCTAAGATGGCACCTTCCTTGCCTGTAAAGGAAATGTGTTACTAATCCATCAACCAGAGTTCTGTTGCTGTGTGGTAGGGCCACTCACAAGCTGGTGCAGCTATAAAAGTGCTATTGAAATTCTTCATTACATATATTTAAAACTATTTATATTGGCAAAAGGAATAGTTTTTATTTTATGTTTCTTCGAATTGACATTGTCTATGCAGTTTCTAAGTGGATTAGAAATATAAAAAGCGTTACCACTATCAATTCTGTGAATATTGTGTAATCACTAGGTCACTGTCCTGCAATGATTGAGTGACCTGGGTACAGTGTGACCTTTAACAGAGATACAAAAGTGAGGGACAAACGTCTGCATGTCCACATAGGAGCAATGAAGCTACTAGTGGTACTTATGCTTTTTATTCATATAAGCACAACACTACACAGGTAAGAAAATCCAAGTTCTTTTTCTACAAGATAAGATTTTCAAAAACGTTTTATTTTTTCAGACTTCATTATTACTTTTTGTAAAAGACATGAGGCTCAATTTACAAAGCTTTAACACCAGCCTAAGACACTGTAATTTTAGCCATGTGACTGTCATTTTTTAAATTTCATTGGACACAACTGAAAATAACTGTCACTTTTTGGAAAATTAGGATACTTATCCTGGAGTGTTAGATTTGTAAATTGAGCCTATTGTGGATTTTACTCTGTTTTATCTTATGTAATAGTTTATATTTTTTCCATGTTCTAATATGACATAAGTTTGACATGCTTTACTAAAACAGGGTGTATTATACTTTTGTGTTTTCAATAGCAGTTGCCTTATATTTTGTTGCTTTTTATTTTTCTAGACAATACTCAAATGTATTTATTTGTTTTTTTCCCCCTGTACTCAAATGTATTTACAGTATTTGTTTGTTTTCCTGTACTCAAATGTATTTATTTGTTTTTTTTCCTGTACTCAAATTTATTTATTTGGGTTTTTTCCTGTACTCAAATTTATTTATTTGTTTTTTTTTCCTGTACTCAAATTTATTTATTTGTTTTTTTTCCCTGTAATCCTGTAAATGGTACCACACTGGGGGAACATTTTCAAAACTGGATAGGACACATTCTGGAGCAGTTGTACATAGTAACCAAAGCTTAACTAAGCAAACTAAAGAAAGAAGCTGATTGGTTGCCATGGGCAACTACTCCAGATCCTGTCTTCTCCAATTCTGATAAATTCATCCCATTACAAATGAATGGTAAATACAGGGCATTACTTTATGATGATTTGTTTGGCAAGTGTTTGCTTGTTTGGCAAGAGTTGCTTCTACCATAATGACCTTGTATTAATGAGACAGGCTTTATTTACATATCAAAGCTGTTTTTTGGGCATCAACACTTCTCCTTCTTCCACCTCCCCCCCCCAACCCTAACTAATCAGCATGTTAGTTAAATAATAAAACCGATTTCACCTACGATACGGTACTTCTGGTCAGAGGGAGAGCTCCCTCTGACCACCAGTGCCGAGGTAGCACGGAGCCAATCAGGAAGCCGAAAAGCGGGTCATAGTGTGCTGCTTGGCTTCCTGATTGGCTAGGAAGCTGGGTTTATTTGCTGCTAGGAAGCCAGGCTTCCTGACCAATCAGGAAGCCGGGCGGCACCTCATGACTCTCCACCCTGCTTCCTGATTGGTCACTAAGCCAGGCAGCCTCGGGCCGGTGGAAACCGGTGTTCTTTCAATAGAACACCGGCTTCCCAGGCAATCAGGAAACCAGGCGGTGGGTCATGATCCGCCACCTGGCTTCCTGATAATCAGGGCACACAGCACCAGTATCGGTACTTGGTATTGGTGAGTACCGAATAAAAAATATTGGTACTCGATACCGAAAAACCGGTATCGGTGCTTCCCTAACTTTGTCCAGTTTTGGCACTACGATTAGGATTATGGTACAAAATGTTGCAAATGTATTTACAAATGAAAAAAAGTTTTTTTTTCAAATTTTTCTTTTTAAAAAACAATTTGACAGAGGGATAGAGGGACAGGGCATGCCGCATATGGCCTGTATACTTCGGGAATTCTTTTTGAGCTGTATATGGCACAACCAAAGCCCGTAACCTGTTAAATAACCTATGTACAGGATGCCAGCAATGGGTCCTGGAAAATGCCTATATTTCCATGCTGTTTAGGTTATGGTCCCTTTAAGGGGCAGATAAAGGTTAACCCACCTGCAGGAGGAAGTGGGTTTAAAAACTAGAAGCTCAGGTAAGCAGCGGTGAAGGAGTATTGAGGAATGGTGTATACAGAAGACTGGAAACTGTTGCATTGGGCAGTGCTGTGGAAGTGCATACAAATCCTTGCTGGGAGCCTGTTGGTTGGGGAGATTCCCCAATAGCTGGGAGCTGTTCAGCTCTTAGGGCAGCCAAAAAGCCTGAAGGCATTGAGACTGTTTGTTTCTGTTGTGCTGAAGAAACGGCTGTTTAATTTTCCTTTGGGTCAGTGGAGATGGACTGTTTATGTTATTTTGCTGCTCGGAAGCCATTTGAGTTGAAGCCTGTGTCTTAAGATCCTGCTGGATTCCCCAAACATCACACCTCATATGTTATCTATAAATACATTTATTTGTAAAAAGGACTTATTATAGGTCTCATGGCATTTATGAAATAGTACTGCATATGAGAAACTACAACCTATTCATATCCAGCATGCTCTTTTAGAAAATCTTCAACCTATTTGTGTTTAGGATATTATTATTCTTATTGTTCTTATTGATCTTTGATTTTTCAGGATACCCCTGGTAAAAGTCCAATCAATCCGGCACCAACTCCGGCAAAAGAATGAACTAGAGGAATTTTGGCTACACCACCAACCTTATGTCTTTGCCAAGAAGTATAAGCAGTGCTTTCCAGAACAGGTTTCCTTGACAGCAGGGCCAACAGCAGAGTATCTGGTTGATTATATGAATGTGAGTGTGCTCATGATTAGTTATTGGTTCTATTAAGGCACAACATTGAAAGGAACAGGGAATGCAAAGTACACATTTCTATTATAGGTGAAGTATAGAGGTCTCCACAATTATGCAGCAGCAGGTAGATGTTCGCGTCTCCTTCATTCTCTACATTTCGAGTCTCAATAATAGAAATGTCAGCACAATAAAATACAGTATGTGGTCATATACCTCCTATTGTAAATGAGACATTTTGAAATCACCAAGGGGTCTATAACTGTATAAATGCTCAAAACCATGTTTTTTTTGGAAAGGAAATTCCTGATAACCTTAAAGCTGAACTACAGGCAGATAATATTAAAAGCCATTTAATGCAGTTATGTATTTACTTATATAATGTAATGTAATTATCTAAATCTGTCTTGGTATCAGCCTAGTCTAGTCCCCATGGAGGGAGGGGCATCAATTAGAGCCAAAAAGTCTCTGCTGCATTCAGATGCTAACAAAGAACGTGCTGGCTTCTAATAGTAGTCCAATCAATAATACCTATTGGTAACATATAACCAACACTGAATTAGAGGATAGTGCATGGTACCCAAGATTATGAACCGGGATATGATTTGACTGATCAACCCCGAAGCGCCACCGAGACTGTCGGTCCGCCTCCCGACATCTAACCCTATCACGGCACGTATCCATTACAGAGTAACACTGCTGACCGCACGGGACTGCAGGGAGTGCATGTACCCATCTATGACATCATAACCGTGAGTTATACACCAATCATTTTTATTTTTATTTTATTTTATTTCATTCTTATTTTTAGCTTTAATTTTTAGTTTCATTTTTACTTTTATTTTATTTAATTCTACTGATTAGCGACCCACAGCAGGATCCTCAGTATCCAATTAATTGCTTAGGTAGTTGCGAACAACACTGAACAGCCAATGCATTTTGAGGGCTCGATTACCTCTCCCTTCTTCAGGGCTTACACATGAAAGGTAGTATTATGGACTCAAAACTGGCACATATCACTGAGGACTAATTATTTCCTGTGTAGGGTATAGCTGACATCAGCAAAACTCGGATACCATTGAAGACAGACTTAAAGACTCGTAACTGTATATAGCGAATATTGGTGTTTTGTCCCTGAGTTGGATACCCCTGACATAGGATGCCACTGACATAAGAAGCTTATTATCCCAATTATAAATCTTGCTTTATTTAATTCTTGCAGGCTAGAAGACACAACAAATGATGTCTCAGTTCCCTAAAATACATTGTAAAAGAGCTGTTTTAAACAGGAATCATTTAACATAAATATGTAGTCTTTAAAGTGAATGAGGTACATTATGATGGACACCAGACTACATAGGAATAAATAGCCGTTCTTTCCGCTATGAGTGGCTGTAAATCCTCAAACTCTGTTTGATCTCTGACCTTCTATAATAACCAGGATCCCATTTTATCATAGAGAGGGGAAACACATATATTCTGTTTAATGAGTCACAAAGTTCATGATTATACAACACAAACTATAAACCGGGATTCACAACTGCATAATTATCAGGTATAAACTTATTTTTATTGCGCGGATCTTAAATTACATTCCTCTGGGACAACATGGCCTGTTTCCAGTTTGAAGATATTCTTCTGTCATTATAACCTGTTTCTGTGCACTTGTAAATTATGATAAATATCCATCCAAGGCAATATAAACTTCCTGACATTTCTGAGAAGGCCTGGTGAGATTTTTTTTCGTAGTACTTTAATGTATCCGTGGATTTTCTTGGAAGCGGATTATCTTGGTGCCATGATCTCGGTGCTAAAAAAGTGTTACAGAAATAGAATTGGTTCACATTTATATTTCCACACAGGGCTTGTTTATAAGTCTAATCTGTTTGCTAAGTTTAAAGCAGAACTCCAGGAAAGAAATTATACTTTACACATGGCATTGGGGATGTAAATTATAGGTGTTAACCTTTAATAATATAAGTTCAAAATTATAGACACAACTGAATGAGTGAGGAGAGCAACTCACCCCTCTTTACTACACCTTTCTGTCTGTTCAGACAGGTCATATTCAGTTAGAGAGAGATAAGCTGGACGCAACTTCTGCTGTGTTCTCTCATGTAATGTTCTGTGATATTTATTTTATTATTTATATGCTGGGGCTTTTTTTCATCGATGTGCTGATAGTAAAGCAAATAAGCCTGAGTCCAGGACTTACTGTTTCCTTTGGCAGTGAATAGTTGCCACTGATTATATATAAATTCTCAGAATACAGGCCTTACTGAGGATTCTCATATGCTTAGGGTGAAGTGCTTTTATATGTTTATAGAATAGAAGATGTGAAACAAAGAATGTATCTTTCAATAAAAATGTATATTGGAGGAAGCTGTTGGTTGTGGCATTTCTCATTAAATTAGGCTAGCGTCAGAAATGATATTTTCATGCCTTTTTGTATTGCATTGCAAATTCCTTACAGAACTGATGATTGCTAGGTCATCTCAGCGTGAAAATCAGTGGACTCGTCAAATGTGAGTGCTACTGGATTGTAGTGACTTTTAGTTTAAAAATGTCAGTCTTTAGTAGTTCCAGTCTTACTGTATGGGTACTCTTACCATTGCATCTGATCACTTACTTACAGTATATGCGTTTAAATACCTTAATGACTTTGAGTGAAGAGTATTTTAACATTGCAGCATGTAACAATTAAAAAGACACAGCAGTGTGACATGAACATGACCTCCATACTCATTCTGAATAGAGATTAATTCGTTTTTTCAGCCCAGATGACAGGACCAAGGAGCTTCCAACAGAAATCTATATGCCACATGTGAGCACTAAGGTGCTGCAAGCAGTTAATCAACTGGCACGCTTGTCTGATGCAGCATAAGCAATCTGGTCACTTGTATTAGACACACCTCTATAACATTGCTAACATTATCCAAAGGGAGACTTCATGTACTAGTACCATTTTAAAATACTTTTCCATAAACTTAAATATCATTTGCTTTTAGAAACAATACATTTACAGTAGAATTAGACTTCTGAAAAACGATTTGTGTGGTTTTGGCACAGTTGTAGAGATTTTGGCATACAAATTTTCATTGTGAATATCTTTTACTAATGTGTGATAAGAGCATTAGCAATTTAGTGTCCCCCTAGCTTCATCCTAATCTTTAAAGTCCATTTCTGGGCAAAACAAATTTCACTCCAAACTATCCATCTACCCATTCTTCATTTAATGACCCAAAAGCCCTTTTTTCACTTACCCGACTTCGTAATTACCTGTCAGTTGCTGGTGTCTCTTCTATTGGGGGCACTGGTGATCCAGCACAGCAGTCTGGGCCCACTGTGCTCCTTCCTAATGTTTGTGGTGGGGGAATTCCTTGGCAAAGAACATCTTTATTCTAACTCTAATCCTTAATCTGCCACCTAATATTATTCTTCAACTAATTCTCAGGCAAAATGTATACTAACATGGCAATATATACTATAGAGCAGCGATGGCGAACCTATGGTGCGCGTGCCACAGAGGGCACGCAGAGGCCCCCCTGGTGGCAAGCAAACCTAGGTGCCGGTTGCTGGAGCCCGCACACTCCAGGTTCTTACCTTGCCTGTATGTGTGTGAGGCTCTACCGCAAGGCGGGGACCTGTGGTTGGGAGACCCCTGGGGGCTTTGGACAAGTACCCCTTGCTTCGCACCATCTTGGATGGAGAGCAGACAGCTACTGCTTCAAGTTCTGCAACGCACTCAAAGAGCTCTGCAAGACCGGTACACGTTCACAACTGCCAGGAGGTACCTGGCTGAGATTACCAGCCTGACCCTCACCCAGGTCAGCAACTGGTTCAAGAACCAGAGGCAGCAGGACCGCAACCTGTCCGAGGTACAGTCCAAGAGTGTGTTGTGTGTGTGTGTTCGATATGTTTGTGTGAGTGCTTGATATGAGTGTGTGTGATATGTGTGTGTTTATGAATGTGTGTTGGAAATGAGTGTGTGTTTATAAATGTATGATTATATGTGTGTGATTTATATGCGTTTGTATCTATGAGTGTATAAATGTTTGAATATGTGTGTTTCCCTATTTTGCCTAAGGCAGTGATGCTGAAGGTTTTTAAACCCCAACACCCAAATTAAAACACAATACCAAACTTATTTGCAGCGCTGGCACTTTGAGATATATAAACTGATTTTGCACTGCAGTTTGGGCACTCGGGTTCATAAATGTTCGCCATGACTGCTGTAGAGGGATAAATACTATCACAGTAATACTAGCGGCGATAATATTATGACACAAAAAAATTTAAAAATAGATGTTTTTGGTGGTTATAAAACATGGATGGAAAACAAATGTTTTGTGCAGCTCCTTAGCACATCACTTTAACTGTTGGTGAGTAACACATAGCTTGTTTAATGTCAAACGTCTGACACAATCCTCCTGTCACCTCACATATCAATCTGTGTACTTGTTAGGAAGTCCCAGACATCTGAGGGCAGCCTGAGAAGCATTGCAAAACCTCTGCTATACCAAACACATTGGAATGTGACACTGACATCTTTCTATAAATACTTTAACTGAAGCCATTGTGCAAGACAATCTGTGAGCTTTAGAAGAGATTTACCCTGGCTGGTAGAAAGAAACCAGTGCAACCAGAGAAATTAGAAGAATATTTGGGTGATTCATATTTAAAGGGTTCTTGGATGAAATAATGGATGGTTTTATGTTGCTGCGAAAGCATATAGTCACTTTTGATGGAACCTATGGAACATACAGTATCTTTGTGTTTGTTGTCTGATATTTAGGGCTAAAGAAAACCCTGTGAATATAAAGTGTATAGACTAACAGATATACATGACTATGCTGAGGACTGTTTCCATGAATGTACTATTAAAAAGGTATATAATGATTTTGGGGTAATTTAAGTTAAACATTTTTTAACAGTTATAGATTTTTAAACTGGTGTTGGATATCTGTTTTTTATTATTTATATAAAACATTTGATTAAAAATAAACATTTAATGCAGAATTTACCCAAGATGCATTAATCACAGAGCATTATATATATTTTTTTCTTTTCAATAAGTTTTTATTGAGTTTTTACAAGAAAGAATGCAAATGAAATCACCCACGCAGGGGTCCTTAACATAATAACACTTCTACAAATATGAAAAAAAGATAATAAACTAGTGGGTCATCCGCATCTGATCAAACTTTCAGATAGGAGTCTACCAAATTGTTGTCAAGAGATAAGGAAGAAAAAGTGGTAGGGAGTCAAGAAAAGGAAAAGGGGAAGGGAGAAGTCAAAAATGAAAGGAAAGAAGAAAGAACAGTGACAGCAGGAGTCAGTGGGAGAGAAAATCAGAGAAGGGAATAGAGGGCCCCTACTACCCCCATTACTGATACAAAAGCCCTAGGGCAGAACATGTTAAAGACTGCAGAGGCTAGAGGAATTTATGGTTGGAAGGGCGTAGGAAATCCAGGGATCACACATTTTGAGAAATGTAGCGTGAGAGTCACGAAGGACGTTTGTCGTTTGCTCATTAATTAACAATGTATTCATGTGGACCATGGGGGTCTTACACGCTCTTGCAATGATCTGCTGTGTGGCCAAAAAGAGGTAAGTGAGTAAGGTCTAATAAGAGGATGTAGCACTGACATTTTATGGTGGGCAAGGGCTTTACGTGGGTCCTTATGAACAATAGCGATTGTAAGAGGTGAAATGCTCTGGACCAAAATGAGATCAGTTTAGGGCACATCCACCAGAAATGTAAGACGTCTGCCAATTGGTCACATCCCCAGGAACATCGATCACTGTACGTTGGGATTGCCTTTGCTATTCGCAAAGGAACCCAGTAGCACTGCATGAGGACTTTGTAAGCAGACTCTAGAATGGAAGTATGAAAGGAGCATTTAGCTATACGAGACCAGATCTCAATTCAGTCCTCCTCCTCCAGGGTGATAGACAAAGTAGACAGATCCCTGTTCCAACTATCCACGTATGACAAAGTAGGGGAGGTAAGAAGTGAATACAACATAGAGATAAATCCAGGGGCCCCTGGTGGTATTATAGTTTTTTTTTAAGAAAGAGCATAGCAGATACCTTTTGCATGTTTCTTTCTAACTGAAACGTCGGAAGGAGCTGGCTAAAAATATTGGGAAGGAGGGGAAGAGAGAGGGATGGGTCACTTTTTTTACTCATTCCTTTGAGTGCATGTAGACAGCAGGCTTCTTTAGGCATAGCAGAAAAGGATGGACAGGCAAACTTATTTAAAAAAAGAGATTCCCCTGCTGGTTGCATATGAACCATAAAACATTATGCAATATTTTAAAATTGAATAAAATATATTTTTTAGTCCTTTAGTTTTTTTATCATAATAAATAAGAGGTAATAAGAGAAAAGGGAAATATATGCAAACCCACACTATACATTACCATAAAAAACAGCAATAAACATTACATTGAAATAAATAGGTAAAATGTATGCATACATGAATATTTCTATATACAGTATGTGTGAAAATATCCAACTTTCAGAAATTGTATCAATACCGATGAAAGTGCAGTTTCAGTTTTTTGGGATATATTTTTTTATTCCAGGCTCAGTACTATGGAGTAATCAGTGTTGGAACCCCCCCTCAAAACTTTAGTGTGGTCTTTGACACTGGATCTTCCAACTTTTGGGTCCCTTCCTGTTTCTGTATAAGTGATGCATGCAGTAAGTTTTTCATTATTTACTTTTATACTTGATAGTTTATTTGTATCCCAAGCTTTCAAATGTCCTGTAAGTGAAACTACACCCAATACAAGTTTCACCATTTTGGGGGAAATAAGGCAGATTTTGTCCTATAGCTGGTCTTTATGGGGAGTTAATAGGTTACTGGCAATGGTAGCTCAGCTGTCACAGTCATGGTGGAAAGAGATGTCTTTGTTGAGGTTCCAGACAGTAACAGAGGTCAAGTGGGGGATACAACCCTGGCCACACATTCCAAAGAGAATTTCTCTATTTTCTATATTATTATCTAGCTCCCAAATTAAATGCTTATGGCAAATTAAATGAAGATCTCATATACTGTGAATTTAATAAACACTACACGCACCCTGGAGAAAAGGTCCATGTTGGTAAATCCTTTGCCTGTTTTGTAATGTCCTAAGCTGCAACGGTAATGTCACCACCTATTGGTGGCCGAGACACATTAAGGCAAAATAGCACCCTAGGCAAGGTAGTGTGATGTTTGGGAAAGTTAGCACAAATGGTGAGCGCTTAATGACCAGTCTCCAAGCCGTTTTAACATAAAAACAAAACAGTCTTTTATTTCTTTCATAACAGAAAAATAGCTTTCTTTAGTAACAACAACATAAGATTAGCTTGTCTTTCAGCAATAGACAATACGACAATGGCTCACCGACTCAAGGTTGTCAGATATACTTTATGCGTCCCTGGACTTTAGGGTTTTCTTCAGCAAACTCCTCAGAAGTACTCTGTACCCTTAGCAGCTTCCAGCAGCTTTCCACACCTCTTGTGTGGCTCTTACACACATCCCTTGTGTGTCACTGACTCTCTAAGCCTCCTTGGCTGTCTCCCATGTGCCTCCAGCAGCTCCTATGGCTGAGAGTCCTGGGTGACTACAACACTCAGTTCTACAGTGGGATCGCAACTCAATACCACAGTAGCAATTTTGATTCTTCTATTGACATTGATTATAAAAAACATTGTAGCTGGGCCCTTTGGACATCCACCAGGCCCAAACCTGCTGCCTTGATTACCTTCTGTATGATCCAGCACTGATTGGTGGGCATAGGGTGCTGTTTTACCTGTGCTATTATCATAGTGCAGAACTATTTTGATCCCTTTTGACTGACATTGAATCAAATTATAAAAAAATCAGATGGATCTTGAAAATTCTGATTGTTTCATTGAAGATATCTAAGAATCATTTTAAATGATTTCAGCTAAAAATAAATTGTTAAGTGTGTCGTTTCCAGCCGAACAAACCAATCAACCGCAACACATAAAACACTCCATGAATTGGCATCTCACCGTAACGAGCACTCTTGAACCTTTTTCCTGACAATGTTCCAACACTGGCCCTTGAGAATCCCAGAAATGTTTGTATAACCGGAATGCGGATGAATTTTGACTCACCCTCATATATACAGTATATATTTTTATTTTTTTTGTCACAGCAATAGCTAATAGTTACTAATTGATTTTTTTAAAATTAATTAGTTTGATATTGATTTGACTGATTCCTAGTTTTATATTCCTTTTATTATACACTGAGTGGCCAGATTATTATGACCACCTGCAGTTTGTAGGCAAATTAACTATAATTAGCTATAATTTCACGCTGAAGTTGCTAGAGGGCCAGACCATTATAAATAGGGAAGCAGGTTGTTTACCACGACAGTAGAAGTGATTTTTTTCTGAAGATATGGGTAAACAACGCGATTTAACAGCCTTTGAACGTTGTTCGCGCGAGCCATGAAGCGAGTATCAGCAAAACAGCAGAATTCGTTAAATGTTCAAGAGCAGCTGTTGTTATAGTGTTTAAAGACTGGACTGTCAGCCGAAAATCTGGGTCTGAACGTGCGAATTGTGGCCGTCAGCGACTAGTCAATGTTAGGGCAGAACGGAGAGTGGCAAGACTGGTACAAGACAACAGAAGGGCAACAGTGCAGTGTCAGATTCCTCGCATCGCCTTTCAACATCTCGTGTAGTCACGAGGCGGCCAAACGCAGTCATCTCGTGGAGTCATCTCGTGGCCCAACGAAGTACTGATGGGGTGGTCACAATAATCTGGCCACTCAGTGTATAGCAGCTGTACAATACATGGTGCATAAAGTCAAATAAAGTGTATCAATATTTCTTAATAGATATCCATGAGAATTTCAAGCCCTTTCTGTCCACAACATACGAGCATGTTGGGAAGACCTTTTCTATTCACTATGGCACTGGACAACTTGTTGGTGTAATCGGAAAGGACACACTGCAGGTAAGAAACTTGGTCATAGTAAAGATAAGATGTGTAAGTTTGCTTGATAGTTCCTTCCAACTGTGAATCGCCCCCACCCCATACACACATAAATTATTCCAAGCATGTTAGGTATGCTTTGTAAATGCCTTAAACAAGTGGCTCCACCTGACCTCAGTTTATGTAGTAGAGAGAAAGGGTCATGTCAGCTGAATCTATTTAATTGCGTAACAGTATGAAACTAATGTAGAAACCCGCCACCTAAATTAAATTGCCCATGGCCATCAAGCATTTCTTTGCTTTATTAACGTATTAAACTAGTTGCTAGAAATAGCTGTTCCACTCTAGGTCTGGTTTTTGTAAATCTACCCTATTGCTTTCCATTAGGTTCCTCCTGCATGATTGGTGTGCTATATTTTATGTGATGGTGAGAGAAGGGTATGGCTATTACGGTAATAATATTCTATTTTAAATAATCACATATTAGTATTTCCGAATATGCATACAGGAATGCTTACATCAGAATCCTACTAAATATTAACACAATTGTATTGCTTAAAATTATCACACAACAGAATAGTGGGAGAGAAAGTATATTATTATTAGTAATGTATTTCACATTGAAGATCTTCATTTGTTTTCGCTTACAGATCAGCAACATGACCATAGAAGGGCAAGACTTTGGTCAATCAATAAATGAACCTGGAAGAACATTTGTGTTGGCACAGTTTGATGGGGTGCTGGGCCTTGGATATCCTGCACTTGCTGTTGGTAATGCAGTGCCGGTATTTGACCAGATAATCAAGCAAAAGCTATTGGATAAACCAATATTTTCTTTTCATTTAAATAAGTTAGTTGGCAATTAAAACACGTTAGACATTTTAAGATGATAGAGATACCATATGTGTTTGTTTAATGAATATATTTTTACTCTTTTTAGAGATGAAGATTTTCAGTATGGGGGAGAGCTGATATTAGGGGGGATAGATAACACCCTTTACAGAGGTCCAATTCACTGGATTCCCATCACACAAAAGGGTTACTGGCAAATAAGGCTTGAAAAGTAAGCATTTTTTCAACTACTAAATGGTGTTTTCACATATATCAGTATATATTAATATATAGATATATACATATCTATATATATAGATCTATATATAATATAAATAATATGTGAGCTGGGATCTAGATTATGGAAGTCAAGACTAGGGCATCAAGGTCAGCCAAAAGATTATAACTAAAAGCCAAAGTGGTTTGACATGCCAAACTGAAACATTGGTAATGTCCTAAAACATTACAAAATGATACTGAGATTATTGGTGCATATATTCCTCTACCACTTTTTATGTCTCTAAGTACTTGATTGCACTTAAAGTGTATCTAGACCCAAGGACAAACATATTATATTGGTAACCTACAAGTCTTTACATGTGGTGGTTGCTTTTTTTCAGGCTTTATATCCTTTATTTTAACTTGGTGATCCTGCCAATAACACACATCCTGCCCTAGAGAAAATACTCACTGTACTGTACCCATAGTGGAACAGTATTGTCACGCTAGGCTGCTTGCTCGTGATTTGTACTACAGGACACTTTTCTCTCTCCTCTTTTCAATAACAGAGTAGGAAAGTGTCTGTGAAGGTTCTCATTCATCCAAGTCATGGTATATCTGTAGAAAAATAAATCAAGTCAACTGGACTTGCTGTCATTTTCTTGAAGATGTTTCACTAGTCATCCGACTTAGCTTTCTCAATGCAGAAATTGAGAAAGCTAGTTGGAGGACCAGCGAAACATCTTCAAGAAAATGACAGCAAGTCCAGTTGTCTTGATTTATTTTTTACAGATATAGTAGGAAAGTCTTCTGTCATTCGGATTTCAGTGCAGCAGACGCAGAGTGCATGAGAAGCTATGAACTCACTGGATTTCTGGCTGGATTTTTTTACACTTATTGAACAGGTATAACAACATACTTATAATAATATATTTAACAAATCAAATGGTAACAGGTAAGAGAAGTTCATTGTTAGAAGTTACATATACTTCAAGGTTTATAGCACAAGTGACAGAAGAAGAACACTCAGGCTTCTCAAAATATAGGCTAAGCTAGAGACAGAAGGAGGCAAAGAAAGATATTATCGCGTTGTCCTTCAGAATTCATTGAGCCCCTTAGGGTTTCTTATGTTCTTGAAGCCCTTTCCTTTCCTAATAAAAAGACCTGCCAATCCTTCAGTGTCCCTAATATACATAAAGACCATCTTAGTGTAGATAGAGTTTATACTTGCAGAAAAAGCATGTGTTAAAACTTACTTCCCCCTGTGTAGCTCATAAGTCCCTGCTGTGCTAGTTGCACTCTAGCTCCTTACACACTAACACACATACAGTACACAGGCTCTATACATAAAGAAAGACCGGATGTGTGCAGAAAGAACAACCTGACTACCCCCACACAAACGGTAAGCTAGAACCTGCCCCTCTTGTTTATTATGCAGAACAGCTTCCTCCACAACTCAAATTGCAACTACATTTGCTAAGCCACAACACTACTCCTTTCCTTTTACATTCTAATAAAATAAAGATAAAGAATATTAAGGCCAGGTTAGACACGAATAGAATCAGGACAGGAATCAGCAGAATATAGTCCTCTCTAAAAACCGAGACTATTGCATACCCAAAAATGCAAAACCTACCAGCATCTTTCACTGTCTAGACCGGGTTGATATAGGTTTTAAGTCCTTTGGGAGTTGTGATATTAAATGTTCAGCTAAAAAAATAACATAAGCCTGTGGAGAGTATTTTTTTCTACTTAGATAACTTGCTATGTCTTACCATTTTTGTTTGTCATACAGCATCAAAGTTCATGGGAAAATACAATTTTGTCCCAATGGTTGTGAGGCTATTGTTGATTCTGGGACCTCTCTCATTACTGGGCCTAGTGCTGATATAAAGGAGTTGCAGAAATTTATTGGAGCTACACCCATGTTATTTGGAGAGGTAACATTTTTTCACTTCCTTTGGATGTAAAGCTATAATGTCCTGCACCCACTCCCGCTTCATGGGAAACGAAATGGCAAAAGAAGGTTTCAAGAGTGGTTTCATAGAATGATAGCACTTATATGAATGAAGCATTGCCATAGAAAAGTACAGGCATGAATATTGCATTTTCTGAAAAAGTTTATATTTGGGTCACTGTCCCAGTTCCAGAGTCATTGTCATGGGGTATAGCATGTTGATTTGATCACACTGTTCTCTTAATAAAGTCAATGTCTTTGGGATGTGCAACCAAGCAGGTATGTTCCTGAAGTCATTAGTCACTTACACAACATGTGTTATAATTTGCTACATTTTTGGAACTTAATGCAAATGTTATTCTTATTTACATTTTACAGTATGCGGTAGACTGCAAGTCGTTATCTAGTCTTCCAAGTGTGACCTTCACCATAGGACATAGAGACTACACAATAACTCCTGAGCAGTATGTGATTAAGGTATGCATACCTATGCATATTAAACAGCGTGTTCTGAGAGTGTAGAAAATATGCAATGCTTGAGAAGTTTGAAGCACACTTACATAGTGTAATTTATTGTAGGAGCAATCGGAAACGTCTGCAGTGTGCCTGGCTGGGTTTCAACCCATGGATTTGTCTACTAAATCTGGACCTCTCTGGATCCTGGGAGATATCTTTATGTCCAAGTTCTACAGTGTGTTTGACCGTGAGCATGACAGAGTTGGACTGGCAAAATCCAATAAAAAGAGGCACAGACATCAGGACACACAAACATTGGTGTCAACCAACCTTTGATTGTGCCATCTACATGCCATTTGCATCCATTAAATGTATTTTTCTGTATTCCTTGAATGACATTACTTTATTCAAAGGGAAATCTTTGCATAAAGCTAAATTGTTTTTGCTCATTGTGTTTTACTATATTGTTTCCATCACTCTCACAGGGGAATTGTAGAATACACAGACATGATAAAGGTCTGATCTCTTTTAAATTATTGAAGGCATATCATGATACTTCCATAAGTCCAAATGAAAGCTTTGTAATTAATCTGGGTTTAATTTTACCCAACTATTAAATGTATAATTTTAAATGTTAACGCAGTTAAAGTTTTTGGCTAATTGCTAATAAGACATGTAACCCCCGCCAAAAATTTGTTTTGTTTAAGATCAATTCAGAGTTTTATTACTTTAGTTTTTTTGATTTCCTATTCAGTTCGTTATTCGGATTTCGGATCCAAAATTTGATTCGTTATTCAGATTCCGGATCTGTCTGAATTTTCGTTTCAGGTTGTTCCACAACAGGAAGTCACATGACCGTACCTATAATGCAACCCTGACAGCCAAAAAAACCCTATCTGATTGGCCGGAGAACATGTCCGATTTAGTTTTGTTTTGAACGTCATTGAGACGGATCCGAATCTTCGGATTAATTTGTATTTAGACGTGTTGGAATTCGGTAATTCAGATGCATCCAAATGTCAGAATTTAACAAAATTCATACACATATACAGTCTGAACAAAATTAAATTTACATATCTATTGCTAATATTAGCCATTAATAACATCACGCAAGGTGAGATGACTAAGAAAAGATTCATTTTGTTAGACTGCTAGGACACAATCTTTTCCTATCTTATTAACAGGGTTATTCACAATAGGGTGAAGAGTTTGGAGAAGGCAGAAGTGAACAATCTAGGACAACGTAGCTGAGCTGGAAAGTTAGCTGAATTGGAGAATTTTTCCAAATCAGTTATGTTGTCCTAGATCAGGGGCGCCTACAATTTTTCATTCGGAGATCTACTTTTCAAATGACAAGCTCAATGAGATCTACCAACGAAAAAACACCTGCATTCAGGGGCAGGAGGGGGCATGGCAGTGCATTGAAGTCAATGGCACCGCAGCCACGCCCCTCACCCGCAGTGCGATCGCCCGCACCCGGAACCAGTCCAGTGCGATCTGCAAAAATGCTGGACCGGAATGCAGGCAGGCGATCGCACTATGGGTGAGGGGCATGGCTGCGGTGCCATTGACTTCAATACAACCCCACGCCCTCTCCTGCCCCTGAACTCAGTGAGTCGGCCGGCTTGCATTCCAGTGCGTTCTAGAGGCGCCGGCGTTCTGTCCTCCCGCGGTGCTTGTGTGGCCGACGTTGCACATGGGGAGAGGTGTCCTGCCCCTTTCCGTCTGCGGCGTCTAGCACATTCAGCCGGCAGCCACACGAGCACCACGGGAGCATAGCTGTAGCTAGCTCCTTTTGTGTCCGAGGCAAGAAAAAAAACGTGCTCCCCCCAACAGGCGTGTGACATCACCCAGAGCCCCACCTCCAGGATTTTTATTTATTTAATTTTAATTTATTTTTATTTTTTACTGTTGGGAGGGATCCAGAGAAGCCCCACGGCAGAAGGAAAGGACATCGCGATCTACCAGGGATCGCTTTGCGATCGACTGGTAGATCGCGATCGACCTAATTGTCACCCCTGTCCAAGATTGTTCACTTCTCCTGCCATCTCCAAACTCTTCACCCTTTTGTGAATAACCCTGTAAATGTTTCAGTGTTGCACTATTTCTGTTCATAACCAACAACTACATTTTATGTTAGAATTACTGTTTATACGAGATTTATCTTAGCTTCTTTGAAGGTTTTGTCCTAGTCCATATAGTCTTGTGGCCCTTCCTGTCCTTATTCTCCATTCAGAGCGGTTTGTAACAGGTTACACAGCAGGGAAAGCCTACCCGCTGTGTAACCTGTCACGCCTAATAACAGGCCGCGCTGCATCCGGCTTTTGACAGCTAAGTTAGGTTACGTAGCAGCGGGCTTCCCCACTGCTTGTGTAACCTAACATAGTGAGGCAAGAGCTGCAACAGCCTCTACTCTATGTTAGAGGCTTGAACTCTATGGATGGTTTAGACCAATGGCAAAGTGCCATTGGTCCAAGCTGTCCAATGACAAAAAATAAAAAAAAACCACGATGCCTCAGCAGTGACGAGCAAGTGAGGGACAGGGAGGCTCCTCGGTGTCTCCTACCTTCCTCCTCCCTCCCTTGTCCACACATAGCTTGGTGACCGGGTTGCAGGTGGGGCTTTGGCTGGCTGGAGGCAGGGCTTCAGTGGGCTGGGGCGGGGCTGGGGGAATGCCTCACGCAGGATGGAAGGTATCGCACGTCACTGGTATGCATTCAGTATAGGCAGGATGTGTCTGCAAAGAGGCTATTGTTAACACCGCAGATACTGCAGGTTGTGTGTGATACTTTGGATATGCATACTTGTAAAAGCCTAAATCCTGAAGCTAGCCATGGAAACACAGGGCAGCAACATGTTTTCACAGACAAGGTGGGTATATACTATACAGAAGTCCAGCCAAAAATAACAAGATAAAAAGTAATAGCTCAATATAAGACACAATAGAAAAAAACAGCTTTTGTTACAATATTCACATTCAGTCCAGAGATTTCAAGATTACAAGATGGCCTTAATCAGATGGCCAGCATCATTCAACCCACTTCCCCTGAGCCCAGGTTGTCCTGCATCTGCTCCAGCCTGCGACTGGACAGTGAAAGGAGAAGCAGCAGGGTGATGAGCTCATCTTTCAGTCCCTCTAAGTGGCTCCTTCTGCTACTTCTTCCTCTTAAAATCCATGCCTGCTAAACAGGGACTGCAAGAGGCTGATGCCAGATCATATTTAGGTACTTACACTAATTGCATTTAATTATGTAATAATGACTACATAGCTGCGTTATTCGCGCCTGTAGTTCAGCTTTAAGCATGTAAACATAAGCTAGTTGTTGGGAGATCTATTTCCAGAAGTTCTGGGTGGAGACATGTACAGTATATCCAGGTTATTTTAGCATCTTTTTTGCATATGAATTGGGGTGCAGTCAGACACCTCCAGTGACAATCTTCCTTGATGAAACCAATTATGGAAGTAATTGTACTGAGATTTTATGTTCCAAGCTTGGACCCTTTAGTTAAAGCGGACCTTTGCCCATATCTTTAAGAAAACAAAAGCACACCTTTAGAAATGTTTAGTAATGGCAATCTGCAAACTCATACTTCTAGATAATTGCCGGCTTTGTATTCTTTGCTTTCCTCATTTCTCTTTTCTTCCACAGTCTTCTGGCAGTGGCCATGTTTACTAAGGGCAGATTACTAGCTCTCCTTTCACTTCCTGGATTTCTGGACCAGACATGTGACTAGAACATGTGACCATGCACATCATCTCAGGGGAGGAAAATGCCTTTCCCTGAGATCTCATGAGATTACAGATGAGATTTCCCACCAATGCTCTGCTGATGACGAGGCAATCCCAGTGTGCATTGCGTTGGCAAACTGAAGTCATTTTGCATTCTCAAAGCAGGAAGTGAATGTTCTGCAAGTGTAAGTATTTCAAAATCACACCTGAGATATCTATGTTATTATTAATCATCATACATAGAGGGATGCATTGGTAGAATTTGATTTTTGAGTGTAAAGGTCCGCTTTAATAGCATTGCCATTACAGCTTGGAACACAGAGTTACTGTGCTGACATAGGACATGAGCAAGAGGAACTTGTGTAGACTTTAAAAGATTGGTCCTTATATGTGAACATCCAGATCTAAAAGATTTTGATGTTTTGTAATTACACATATTGGTGCAAGGAAAGGAAATAAAGAAAGAAAATGTGTAGACTACCATTGCTAAACACCATGTCAAAATGCTAATAGCTTTGTTGACATTCTGATCCTGCAGCTTTTGTACTTTCTGAGTCACTGGGGTTATTTTACTGTAGTAGAAAACATTAATTTAGCTTAGTGAATATGATGAGCATTTTAGATTCTAATCATGGGCCAGGGAAATAAAAAGCAAGAATGTTGTTTGCAGCTGATTGTATGATTTAGGGATGCTCCAATACCACTTTTTTAAGACCGAGTACGAATAGCGATACTTTTTTTCAAGTACTCGCCGATACCAATTACCAATACTTTTTCTTAAAGGGACAGGTCACATTTTTTCTAAAGCAATACAAAATCATGATTTTAGGTCAGTTTCTTAATATTATGAAGAACATGAACATGAAATGAACATGAAATGAATATTTATCATGCCATTGCTAACTATGGCTTGTATCCCCATAGTGGGGAAAATAGATGTCCACATGTCCAGACCAGGACACTGTATAGTGCGGCACAGCTATATCCAATTCTGCATACCTGGCTTTATATTATAAGAACTTTATAATATAAAGCCAGGTATGCAGAATTGGATACAGCTGTGCCACACTATACAATAATACACTGTTCTGGAGTCTGGACATGTGCTCATCTATTTTCCCCACTATGGGGATACAAGCCTTAGTTAGCAATGGCATGAT